ATAATTATTAGGAGAAAATTAATTTGAGTTAGGAAGTTTCTTGAAATAAATTAGTTACTCACATAAATTATGTTAGGCATGAGAAAGCTAATTTATAATTACAGCCATAAGTTATTAAAAATAAAGTAAGAGGCAATAAATTAATTAAATGAATTTAATTAGTGATGGGCTGAATTATAATATAAGAGGAATTAACATGTTGGGCCTTGTTTGGGGGAGAAGGTCGTTGGCCCATAGGATGATGAGTATTAGTCAGCCTAATTTAAAAGCATTGGGGCTTATTGCTGATGGGCTAATCTCAATTGATTTCATAAGTTAGTATGTTGGGCTACAACAATTGTTTTGACCTGCGGCCCAAGAGCCTTGGAGCAGCAACCCAACCCAATTCACTTCTCAATCTGATCCATCCTTCCACTCCTACGTGATTGGATGAAAATTCTCTTGGCCAGAGCAACCTTATCACCTAGTGAGTCACGTCTCTGCCTTGTGCAGTGGAGAAAGATCAGAAATAAGGTTTCAGCCTAACCTTGCCTAACCCTTTTTGTAAACCCCTAAAATCTGCCCACCTCTAGGAGCAGCCAATCGGTTGACAGAGAGCAGGATGCATGCTTTCTAATTGGATAAATTTTTTATCTCCCTTCCTTCTTCCCTCACGCGTTCATCAGCAGAGTGATGGGCATAAATTTTGATCTTTGGTTGTGTGGATAAACTCACAGCCAACCTTCCTCTTTTCCTCTCCTCAACCAAGCAAACTTGTAAAATTATCTTCTGATTCTGTTTTCTTGTATTTTCCCTAAACCGCAACATCATTGGAGTTCAAACGGAAGAACGATTTCACCTCTTCTTGGGTTTCTGTTGCAGAAACCGTGTAACCCCTTTTGAAGCAGAAACGAAGATTCAACGTCTATATACCTTTTCCCTCTGTTCAGTTGTGCCTTCCTCCTCAAGAAGGTAAGGTATCTTCTGGCTATATATTTATGTCCCTGACTTCGTTATAATTCTTAAAGACTCCTCTCGGTTTGTCCAGCTGAGGCGTTGGTGGCTGTCTAGTTGTCAGACGTGTGAGCGGCTTGGTGTAATCACAAGCATAAATCTGAATCCATCTCTTTCTTCCTTTCTGCTCGGTCTTGAAGGTAAAACAAGGGCTGAACCTTCTAACTTTCTATTCTGTTTTGATCTGCTCCTTGCTGTAAAAACCGAACCCCTGATGATTTGAAGAAAATGTATCTTGTTAAAATTTAAAAATACTTTTACGGGTTGTGAATAAAGTGCTACTGGCTTAAATTAATTAAATTTAAAACGGCACGGTTATGTTTTCTCTGAATCTTCCTGACGAGAACTCTTAGGATTTCCCTCTGTTTTTGTTATTAAAAATCCCTTTTGGAAGTCACACAATCCTTAGGGTAGGACCCTTCTTGGCCGCGGGATGTAGGGATATTTTAGGCTTGGGAAGCTTTGGTTTAATGTTTAGAGAAGCTTGAACACTATGCTGATTTTTCTGTTTGAAATTAGGTGCTGTTAATTCGTGAATTGGACATTTTTGCTGCTGTTTGGAATCGGTACAGTGACGTTTTAGGTAATTGTGTGAAGGCACTACTCTTCCTACTTGCTAGAAGGAGCACGAGATGAGATTGTGGCTCCATGTCTTGATATATCTATACGTATTACTGTTGCTCGTTTTGACATCTTGTTAATCTTGCTACATATATATATGCTGCAAAGTCTTGTTATGATACAAATTATATGATCTTGACATACATGTTCATCATGACATTTTATTTTGTATGCTGCGTGCGTCACAAAGCATAGCATTCGAGCATCAATTTCATATTGCGACAAAAAAATCATTTTTAAAAACTAAGCATACGGATGAGCATGCACCATATAGGCATTACCTACGGTACCAAGGTCTTGGGACAGTTGGCTTCAGTCCGCTTAGGCCACGGTCGGATCCCTTCTTGAGAAGCCACCAAGGGTAATCCACTGTGCTTGATAGTACGGGCACATTAGTGCTATAACGTACTCTTGGCATTTTACGCATCTTGTTTAGCATATGGCAGCATGTATATATATATGATAAATCTTGTTATTTCAACTATTTCGGGTTCTAGCTTATGCTTTTTGCATTTTGGTATTGTCTCACACTACTGGGAAATGTTTCTCACCCCTTTGGGGCTGCTGTTTTCTGATGTACAATGGCAGGAGGACGCAAAAGTATTTGATGTTTTGTTATGCGATGCTTGGCTGTTTTGTGTACCCGTAGCTGGATTCATGGCTGTTTGTTGAGTTGGGTGACTGTGTTTGCAAGAAGGATAACTTGAAGTTTCATTATTCTGTTATTTTGGATTTTACAAAAGTTGTTTATTTTGTTTGGAAAAATTCTGGTCCAGTTACTGATCTTGAACTTTTGGTTAATTGTTGTTTTGGATTAATGACTATGTTTTTGGAAGTATGGATTGTTTTCTGAAAACTGTTATTTTGCGAGCAACTTAAAAGTTGGCGTCCCGGGGCTACGACCCTTCGAATGCGGCATAATTTATATGCACGCGAAGCCCCTGAAAGTATCTTTAAGAATCTGCAAAAATCCAAATTTTATGGTAACTGTACGAATTCTGAAAAATAACGCAAGACAACAGGTTTTTAAGAAAATTCGCAGAATTCGCGAGCAACTTGCCTGTTCGAATTCAAGGGGCTATTCATCTCGGAATCGCACATATTTTATATGGACGCGAAGCACCGTGTATCTAGTTTCATCGTAGCGAAGAATCATTTTTACCCGACATCAGATTGATTTTATATGAATTTTAGAGAACAGTACGTTTTTCTGGTAAAAATAAAAAATTTCAGCAAGCGCTTATTTTGAAACTTTCGCTGTTTTCATGAATAAACAATTTTAAGTACAAGGTTTTCTAATCTTGAGTAGTTCAGTAAAGATTCTTTGTGTTTAGCTTTTGCAAACGTTAAACCAATTTTTTTTTCCGCTGCGACTTTATTACAAGTTAGCAATATCGCATCTCTTGGATGCATACAAGAGGGGCGTTACACTAATTGGTATCAGAGCAGTTTTGGTCCATGGATATTTGTTTTTGGAGGGATTGTTACTGCTTGCTTGCTGATTGTGATAAATTGTGGTTTGCTGTGTGACTAATTAATTTACTCGTTAGGAATATATTAGCCGAAATAGGTAGATCGATAAGATTATTTTTGGGGATAAGTGACTGAAGCATAGTTTACTTACCCGAATTGAACTCGACTACCTACGTGAGATTGCTGTCATAAATAACCTGCAGTGAGTCTGATCAGCTCATTTCGTGATATTCTGATTTTGCTATTGATAGTTTCGCCATTCCTGGCTCATGTTCTGAACGAACGTCGCTAGTCCTCCGACAGTGGTGATAAGGTCTGCTTCTGCATTGCTTGGTCTTCCCCGAGTGGAACCGCGATTACCTGCCATGATTCTATACATGTTGTTATTTCAACTATTTCGGGTTCTAGCTTATGCTTTTTGCATTTTGGTATTGTCTCACACTACTGGGAAATGTTTCTCACCCCTTTGGGGCTGCTGTTTTCTGATGTACAATGGCAGGAGGACGCAAAAGTATTTGATGTTTTGTTATGCGATGCTTGGCTGTTTTGTGTACCCGTAGCTGGATTCATGGCTGTTTGTTGAGTTGGGTGACTGTTTGCAAGAAGGATAACTTGAAGTTTCATTATTCTGTTATTTTGGATTTTACAAAAGTTGTTTATTTTGTTTGGAAAAATTCTGGTCCAGTTACTGATCTTGAACTTTTGGTTAATTGTTGTTTTGGATTAATGACTATGTTTTTGGAAGTATGGATTGTTTTCTGAAAACTGTTATTTTGCGAGCAACTTAAAAGTTGGCGTCCCGGGGCTACGACCCTTCGAATGCGGCATAATTTATATGCACGCGAAGCCCCTGAAAGTATCTTTAAGAATCTGCAAAAATCCAAATTTTATGGTAACTGTACGAATTCTGAAAAATAACGCAAGACAACAGGTTTTTAAGAAAATTCGCAGAATTCGCGAGCAACTTGCCTGTTCGAATTCAAGGGGCTATTCATCTCGGAATCGCACATATTTTATATGGACGCGAAGCACCGTGTATCTAGTTTCATCGTAGCGAAGAATCATTTTTACCCGACATCAGATTGATTTTATATGAATTTTAGAGAACAGTACGTTTTTCTGGTAAAAATAAAAAATTTCAGCAAGCGCTTATTTTGAAACTTTCGCTGTTTTCATGAATAAACAATTTTAAGTACAAGGTTTTCTAATCTTGAGTAGTTCAGTAAAGATTCTTTGTGTTTAGCTTTTGCAAACGTTAAACCAATTTTTTTTTCCGCTGCGACTTTATTACAAGTTAGCAATATCGCATCTCTTGGATGCATACAAGAGGGGCGTTACACTAATTGGTATCAGAGCAGTTTTGGTCCATGGATATTTGTTTTTGGAGGGATTGTTACTGCTTGCTTGCTGATTGTGATAAATTGTGGTTTGCTGTGTGACTAATTAATTTACTCGTTAGGAATATATTAGCCGAAATAGGTAGATCGATAAGATTATTTTTGGGGATAAGTGACTGAAGCATAGTTTACTTACCCGAATTGAACTCGACTACCTACGTGAGATTGCTGTCATAAATAACCTGCAGTGAGTCTGATCAGCTCATTTCGTGATATTGTGAGTGCAGAATCATGGCAGGTAATCGCGGTTCCACTCGGGGAAGACCAAGCAATGCAGAAGCAGACCTTATCACCACTGTCGGAGGACTAGCGACGTTCGTTCAGAACATGAGCCAGGAATGGCGAAACTATCAATAGCAAAATCAGAATCAACCCCCGCCATTCGACAATGCAGAAGAAATTGCCAGTCGGAGATTGAAGGATTTCCGTAATTTCCAGCCGCCTACTTTCGAAGGTGGAGATGATCCATAGACTCCAGCGCGGTGGCTGCAGATGATTGAGCATGTATTCGAGCGCATGAGATGCCCCGAGGCTCAGAAAACCGACTACGCATCGTATCAGCTGATTGGAGAAGCACTTACTTGGTGGACTAGTGCAAGAACTCTGCTGCGAGCTCAGAATGTTGAACTGACATGGGCCGTGTTCAAGCGAGTTTTCCTGGACAAGTATTTTCCTCAGGCCATGAGAAGGATGAAACACTCCGAGATGTTGGCACTGCGTCAGGACAACATGACGGTTAATGAATATATCTCTAAGATCGGGCAACTGATGGAGTACGCTAACTTCGACCGCAACATTTATGATGAACCATGGCAGGTGGAGAAATATGAGAGCGGGTTACACCCAGAGATCCGCAAGCTCATGTTGACCACTGCAAATCGGACATTGCCTGAAGTGATTAACCAGAGTAGGCAGGCGGAAGCAATCATCAATGAGGCCAAGAACTTGAATAAGCAACCAACCCAGTCTCAGGGAGGAAGCAGAGTTGGCCGATTTTTTAAGAAGATTACCGGAATGGGAAGAGGCAAGAATCCTCAGATGCAAGCTCGAGCCGGAAATTTCAAGAAGATCAATGCTCCTGGTCAGACATCTACTGGAAGACAGAATTATGCTTGCCCTTCTTGCGGGAAGAACCACACTAGAGTGTGTCGTCGAGCAAATAACTTGTGCTATGCTTGTGGACAGTCAGGGCATTTTGTTTCCGATTGCCCGCAGAATCCTAGCAAGAACCCTACTCAAGCTCGGGTATTCACCCTTGACGCCAATGAAGCTCAGAAATATCCGAACCTGATCAAAGGTAACGTGATTTTAAATGGTTATCCTATGTCTGTTATTTTTTATTCGGGAGCATCGGGCTCTTTTATTGCAAAGCACACCGCTCTAAGAATATGAATTACCCCGGCTCTATTGCCCTACGAGTTGAGCATCAGTACTCCTATTGGAGGGTCTTGTACAGCCTCAGAGATCTGCCGAGGTGTTATCCTATAATTTGAAGGAAACACGTACACCGTGAGTTTGGTGGTCCTACCAGTATTCAACTTTGATGTGATTATCGGAATGGACTGGTTATCGGAGAATGGAATGACGCTAGATTGTCAGAAAGGGAAGGTCATTGTTCCTCCGAGAGATGGTAATTCTTCTTCCTTCTCTACTATTTCATTATTACAAGTTAGGAAGGAGCTCCTTCGGGGAGCTGCCGGATATTTGCTGTTAATTGAGTCTGAGACTTCAGTTGGCAAATCAATTATGGATGTACCTGTTGTCAATGAATTCGAGGAGGTGTTTCCGGATGAAATTCCTCGATTACCCCCTCATCGGGAAATTGAATTCCCCATTGAACTTATTCCCGGAGTTGGACCTATATCCATTGCTCCGTATCGTATGGCACCATTGAAACTCAGAGAACTGAGGAAGCAGATAGAAGAGCTGCTGGCAAAGGAGTTCATTCGACCTAGTACCTCACCATGGGGTGCTCCAGCAATCTTGATTAAGAAGAAAGATGGTAGTCTGCGTCTGTGTGTAGATTATCGTCAGCTAAATAAAGTGACTGTGAAGAATAAGTATCCACTTCCAAGGATCGATGATTTGATGGACCAGCTAAGAGGTGCCAGAGTCTTTTCTAAGATAGATCTGAGATCGGGATATCACCAAATCCGGGTCAGACCGGAGGATATTCCGAAAACAGCTTTCCGTACTCGTTATGGTCATTACGAGTATCAAGTAATTCCGTTTGGATTGACAAATGCTCCGGCGGTATTCATGGATTACATGAACCGCATCTTCCGTCCATTTCTGGATCAGTTTGTAATCGTATTCATTGATGACATTCTGATTTACTCTCCGAATGAAGAGCTACATGCAGAACATCTAAGGATAGTTTTGCAAATTCTGAAAGAGGAGCAACTGTATGCAAAATGGTCAAAGTGTGAATTCTGGCTCGGTGAAGTTCAGTTCTTGGGACACGTGATTTCAGCAGAAGGTATTGCAGTTGACCCCAGCAAAGTGGAAGCTGTCATGAATTGGGATCGGCCCAGAACCGTCACTGAAGTACGTAGTTTCTTGGGTCTAGCAGGTTATTACCGAAGATTTATCCAGAATTTCTCACGTCTGGTGCAGCCTCTTACTCGTCTAACTCGAAAGGATGTACCTTTTGATTGGACTGAAGATTGTGAAGAATGTTTCCTGGAGCTGAAGAATAGATTGTCAAGTGCTCCGATACTTACTATTCCTGACCCAATAAGGAAGTTCAAAGTATATTGTGATGCGTCCTTGAAAGGACTTGGCTGCGTACTGATGCAGGATCGGATGGTAGTGGCTTATGCCTCTCGGCAACTGAAATCTCATGAAGAAAATTATCCTACGCACGATCTGGAGTTAGCAGCCATAGTGTTCGCGCTGAAAATCTGGAGACATTACTTGTATGGTTCTCAGTTCGATGTGTGCAGCGATCACAAGAGTCTCAAATATCTGTTCGATCAGAAGGAATTAAATATGAGGCAACGCCGCTGGATGGAGTTTTTGAAAGACTATGAGTTTGAACTGAAGTATCACCCAGGTAAAGCGAATGTAGTAGCGGACGCCCTGAGTCGGAAGACTCTCCATACCGCAACCTTGATGATAGAAGAACTGAAGTTGTTTGAAGCTTTTCGAGATATGAACTTGTCGGTTGTTAGGCGAAGGCGTAGTATAAGATGGGGCAATATTAAGATAGAAAATGAGCTACTCCGTAGGATCAAGGAGGCCCAAAGAAATGAAGAGTTAGTCCATGATCTGGCCGGCATGCGAGATGTGTTATGGGATGAGAACGAAATGTTAAGTTTCCAAGGTCGGTTAGTTGTGCCGAGTGCTGAATTGAAGTCAGAAGTTTTGCAGGAAGCTCATAAAGGAAATTATGCCGTTCATCCTGGATCTACGAAGATGTACCATGACCTGAAGACTTCGTTCTGGTGGCCGAGAATGAAGCGTGACATTGCTGAGTATGTATCTCGGTGTCTGACGTGCCAGAAAGTGAAGTACGAACATCAGAGACCTTCGGGATTACTTCAACCTCTAGAGATTCCCGAGTGGAAATGGGACAGTATTGCTATGGATTTTGTAGTAGGACTTCCTCGTTCGAAAGATGGTTATGATGCTATTTGGATAATTATTGACCGATTGACGAAATCAGCTCATTTCCTGTGTGTTCGAACCACATATAGTACGGAGAAACTGGCAAGGATTTACCTGCGAGAGATCGTGAAGCTGCATGGAGTTCCTACCAGTATAGTCAGTGATCGTGATCCTAAGTTCACCTCTAAATTCTGGGAGTCCTTTCAGCGAGCTCTCGGTACGCAATTGAGGTTGAGCACTGCTTACCACCCGCAAACCGATGGGCAATCTGAACGAACTATCCAGGTTTTAGAGGATATGTTACGAGCGTGTGTCTTAGAGCATGGAGGAAGTTGGGATCAGTATATTCCATTGATCGAATTCGCGTATAATAACAGTTATCATTCCAGTATTCAGATGGCTCCTTATGAAGCTTTGTACGGAAGAAAGTGCAGATCACCTCTGTGTTGGACTGAAGTAGGAGAGCGAAGTATTTTGGGGCCTGACGTAATTCAGGAAACCTCTGAGCAAGTAAAGAAGATAAGAGAAAACATGCAGCGAGCGCAGGCCAGACAGAAAAATTACTATGACAAGTGCCATAAGCCTTTATCTTTCGAAGTGGGAGATCATGTATTTTTGCGAATCACGCCCACATCGGGTCTCGGCAGGAGAATGGGAGTCAAGAAATTAAGTCCGCGATATTTGGGGCCGTATCTTATCTTGGATCGGATTGGCGAGTCAGCGTATCGTTTGGCTTTGCCACCTAATCTGTCAGGAATTCATGATGTATTTCATGTATCACAACTGAGGAGATACCTCTCTGATCCGTCGCACGTGTTGCAACCGGAGGAGGTCGAATTAAGAGAAAATCTGACATACCATGTTCAGCCATTTCAGATTATGGAAAGATCCGTTAAGCAACTCCGTTCTAAGGAGGTTCCGTTGGTGAAGGTGTTGTGGAACAACAAATCCGCAGCCGAAGCTACATGGGAACGTGAAGATGAAATACGGAAACGCTATCCTGAATTATTTAATGAGTAGGTAAGTTCGAATTTTGCGGACAAAATTCCATTTTGGTGGGGAGAGTGTAACATCCCACGTAAATAGGAAATATATTATGTTGCTATGAGAATTTTGGGTATTATGTTCTTGTATGTGCTTTGTGCTTTGATTCGAGTATATAATTATTAGGAGAAAATTAATTTGAGTTAAGAAGTTTCTTGAAATAAATTAGTTAGTCACAGAAATTATGTTAGGCATGAGAAAGCTAATTTAGAATTACAGCCATAAGTTATTAAAAATAAAGTAAGAGGCAACAAATTAATTAAATGAATTTAATTAGTGATGGGTTGAATTATAATATAAGAGGAATTAGCATGTTGGGCCTTGTTTGGGGGAGAAGGTCGCTGGCCCATAGGATGATGAGTATTAGCCTAATTTAAAAGCATTGGGGCTTATTGCTGATGGGCTAATCTCAATTGATTTCATAAGTTAGTATGTTGGGCCACAGCAATTGTTTTGACCTACGGCCCAAGAGCCTTGGAGCAGCAACCCAACCCAATTCACTTCTCAATCTGATCCAGCCTTCCACTCCTACCTAATTAGCGTGAAATCCCTCTCCTCTCAACGTGATTGGATGAAAATTCTCTTGGCCAGAGCAACCTTATCACCTAGTGAGTCACGTCTCTGCCTTGTGCAGTGGAGAAAGATCAGAAATAGGGTTTCAGCCTAACCTTGCCTAACCCCTTTTGTAAACCCCTAAAATCTGCCCACCTCTAGGAGCAACCAATCAGTTGACAGAGAGCAGGATGCATGCTTTCTAATTGGATAAAAAATTTTATCTCTCTTCCTTCTTCCCTCACGCGTTCATCAGCAGAGTGATGGGTATAAATTTTGATCTTTGGTTGTGTGGATAAACTCACAGCCAACCTTCTTCTTTTCCTCTCCTCAACAAAACAAACTTGTAAAATTATCTTCTGATTCTGTTTTCTTGTATTTTCCCTAAACCGCAACATCATTGGAGTTCAAACGGAAGAACGATTTCACCTCTTCTTGGGTTTCTGTTGCAGAAACCGTGTAACCCCTTT